TTCAACATTGAGAACTGCCTTTGGCAGCAGCCCACCGGAATCGACTTCCCCCTCATCACTTTGATGGACCCCAGGTGCGGCGATACCCGCTTGAATGGGTTGATGTTTTTTCCATGTTGCCTTTGCTTCTCCTGCTGGAACTCCACCGGTCCGTCTCGGTTCCTCAGTTTTAACGGGTCTTTGACTGTTGCCCCTGAAATTCTAGGCTACATTCCCTCGTTTATTCCCATTATGTATTCGCGTTGCACAATAATATTCGCCATCATCATCTTCATCTGACATAGTAGAATCACGATTGTATAAGCGCTTAGGTTGGCGCCTCCTTGGTGATCTCCGCAAGACTTGTGGCAAGAGGGGAGCTGAGCCAGGAGGTCCAAACCACCAGTTCCGCGATGTTAGTAACCGGCTTGGGGGTCTCATCTTCGCCAATGATAACACTCTCGTTCCCAGCCATGGTCTTCCCAACATCGGGAGCTGCCTCTAGCAGCGGCGCAACAGAATCATGTCCTTCTTCCTCATTACTTCTATCCCTCTCCACTTTGGTGACCGGCACTTTTCGAGGCTCCCTTTTTTCCCCTGTTGCCGTTATCGCTTGGGCTGGTGTTACACGAGTGGGCCTCGGTTTCTCTGTTTTAACTGTAATTTCATCTGAACCGATCCCCTTGTTGTTCTCAGCCACAGTTATCCTTTTTGTCATGTGATCGGTTTTTGATGGGTAATGATCACACCATCATCATTCTCACTGGATTCAGTACCGTAGCTCTTGTATGACCGCTTGGGTGAGTGTTTCCAGACGGATCTCCGCAGGGATTGTGAAGCGGGGGGTAAACGTGGAGGAGTGCAGACTTTGATATCCGCGATGTTTGGCGCTGCCTTTGGACCTTCCTCTTCATTGCTGGTATGGCTATCATTCCCCTTGATTGCCTGTCGGTCACAAGCTCTACGGGGCGAGGTGGCTGGCACAGTGATTGCACTCCGCTCTCATCCCAATCTCAGACCTCCGGTGCATCGACCTTAGGTGTGGGGGCTAGTGAACAGCAAGCAGCCTATTGGCGGTAGTCTGACTGCAGGCACCCTCCTCAAAGTCTTCACGACTAATCGCTCCAGTGAGTAACATCTTTCTTGCTAGTGGTAGGCCAACCAGTTTAAACTCGTCGTCCGGCATGCATTTGGCCTTGGCAAAGGTTTCCCTAACTGGGTCCAAGAACTGATGACGGATACCTGTGCTGACACCTTGTACTTAGTAATTGATATTCTGATACAAGTATAGAGAACCAATTTCAAACTTACCTAGAACCGGATTTCCAGAGTTCAGCTGAGCCCGTGGGGACTTCCAAAAGCCAATTCGGCCTTAGGTGAACTCATAGAATTCTTAGGCAATATCGGGATTTTTTCCATGCTGATCACAAAGGTAGCATAATGTCTCTTCCATACTCAAATCCTTTACCACAATAACCCTACCCAGACATGACTGTTCTGAGCGACCTGCCATCCGGGGACAAAAACGTATTAAATTAGTTTTCTATCTTTGATGAAGCCCTAAAAGGATTGAAAATAAACCAACCATACCTAACATTTGCAGCAGGGCTTGACCCTCACTGGCTACGAAAACAGTAATAAAAATTCCCGCCATCTGCTGCATCCTTGGCTATGTCTTGCAGAATATGGAGAAGTCCGGGATTCCCAGCCGCAAGCCTGTTGACGATATCCAACACAAGTACAGGAGGGCAGTTGGTCCTCTGACGATAAATCTTGGCCTGCCGGGTGAATTAGTCAAACACTTGCTCGGTAATACCAGAAGGGTGGATGTTCACATATAAGATCCCAGAATGGTTGTGTGACACGTGGCGGACCAAAGTGGTCTTCCCAGTCTCCTAACTACCAATCGCCATCCCATACTGGCTGTGGTGGGACGCAGGCTGCAACAGTGTCACAAGTTCCTCCTTGATGTCCCCGCATTGGGGAAGAACTCTTCCACCTTCCACTTCTGGAACGAATCAGCTTCCTAAATAATTAGGCTTCTATACAAAGCCTGGTATCCCTTGACATAAAATAGTATCTTCACTTACCTTTAGCTTTGCCAAAAACGAGTTTCCATGCCACACCCAGTGGGCTATCCTCAAGCAAACCCTATACACCTCAGACAACATTTTGGAGGCCTTTGGTGCGTGATACCCCAAATACATACCAGGGCCAAAAGAGCGGGAGCCTCCCTGATGGAACACAGCACCAGGAACAGCCGGAGACAATCGAAATTAGACATGCCAGAAGGCAGATCCAACGGTAGGCGTGGACTGAAAAAGAGAGTGAGAAGTGTAACAGCCTCTCTGTGTAGCCCTTAAAGCCATCATAATTGTTGATGGGATATTGATGGATTGTGTGGGGAATAAAGAGAATGGTGGAGAGAGGTGCTAGTGTAGAGATATGGTTGGTTGTGGCAGGATACTGGTAGGTTCATTGGCCAGAAAAAAAGGTTTACAAAGCAAACAAACTTAGACTTTCTGCTCCCTCCTTTGTACCCCCAGGATGCGTAATATTTTCCAACCGGGTAACATTTTTCTCATTTTTTCACTTATTGTGAGCAGTTCTTGCCTGTTCCACTTTGATCATATATATTGTAAGGACTCAGCTCTTAACTATCCTGAGTCCACATTTGAAGGTTGGTACTCCTGAAGTATGAAGCTACGCTATTGCCACCATGGGAGAGGTGTTTACGGGAACTTTGGTGCAATAGTAGAGTGCAGCTGGATTGAGTCATCCACACTGAGTGTATGGTGACTGAGACTTAGTTTGAAGGTGCCCAGTGGGGGGTTGGCATGGATAAGCACATTATACCTGGAGTCCATCCCAGACTTTATTACCTCCTTCTAGATAAACAACCCCCATGGTTTCACTCTATTATAGAAGAATCTGGAGTCTAAAGGGACCTCAATACCTATCAGAGCAAGTGTAATGAGAAAGCATTGCAGTCTGACGAGCCCCATGGCTATATTTAATTTATACTCATAGGAGCTTGTACATTATGCTACACTTTCTTTTACCCTCTTAGCAAGTATGAAAATGTGTTGTGCCCAGTTGCGCGGTACATGGTCTTTTTATTTCAACAGAATTATAGGTCATCCCACCAGCAATGGCGATTGAGTGCTTGCAATTTCGGTTGCTTGCGCCTCACCAACAGTGCACAATACCGGGGTTGACCATTCTGATTGTTGTAGGTACAGGAGAGTAGAATTAATGAAAGAAAATCAAAAACAAAGCTGTCCTGTGTGTCACCCCCACCCACCGCCCTCTTAGGATCTTTGTGTGGGTAGCACAAAAGACTAGCTTCCAAGGAAGCAGAAGCGAAAGCCGAGATCCTTGCACAAGCCACCAGATACCGCAAGTCCCAGCATGAAATCGTTGCCAGAGGCAGCGCTGACGCAAAGGAAACTCATCGGAAATAACGCCTCCGTCTAGGCTAATTAAAGTGGTTTTATCATATTCTTCCCGTCATGGCTTCTTCCTTTCCTCTCCGTTCTGCTCAAACCGATCGTCCAGCCCAGAGAATCCTTTTTAATTTGCCTCCCCTCCATTTCCATTCAGAACAAGCTAACCAGAGCACAGGAGAATACAGCGAAAAACCACCCCAATAAAACTTGTCAAATTTTCTCTTCCCCCGAAGCAATGGTGGGGCAAGAGCAAATATTGTTCTTGATTTCACTGTTTACCTAAAAGTGCTGTATTTTTTGTTATGTTTTGTATTTGCTCTCCGGGGTGCATGGGTAGGCACCTCCACCATTGGTGTTTTATATATACTCTGGTGTTGGTGTGTTTTTTTGTTCTGAATGCCAATAGCAGCCCAGAAAGCACATGCAATCTCTGTCGTTAGATGGCTACATATCCTTCCCTCATCATATACCTCGCTAAACCTGCCATGTATTCTGTGGTTTGTGATCCAAAGCTCAATGTGTGTTTGCTAGACTCAATCCCGCTGCACCCTGCTAGTGCACCAAAGTTCCCGTAAAGACCTCTCCCACGGCCACAGTAGCACAGCTTCATACTGCAGGAGTACCAACATTCAAATCTGGACTCAGGATAATCAGGAGCCGAGTACTTACAATATATATAATCAAACCAGGACAGGCAAGAACAGCGGACAGGAAGGGATAAAAGGAGAGGTTAACAAGTGGGAAAATGTTACGCATCAGGGTGGTATAAAGGAGGGAGCAGAAAATCTAAGGCCCTGTTCGGCTGCGACCGTTCCTTTCCGTTTCCCCATACAAACGACCTTTCCCTTCCGTTTTGGAGGTCCCAAACGGAACAGGTTGTTTGGCAGCCAACTCAACTGTCCGTTCTGTTTGAACAGAGTTCTTGCCCTACACAAGCCGTACCAAAACCTCAGGTTATGTTTACAGAGAAAATTAAAAGCAAATAGAATAAATGCCCTCCGCATTTGAAAAATTAATCTAATATTTCAAATTAATATCAATATCCTATCTACATAATTGATACCCTCTTTGTACCCTGTCTAGAACTTCTACTTTTCCTCTTGGTTTCTCAATTTAATAGCAACAAATAACAAGATTAAGAAAATTGATGAAGCCATAATGCAGGGACAGATTTGAAATTGTGATTTTTGATACAGAAGAAATAGACAATTTTAACACATTAATATGAACTGATTGTGAAAAACATTTACAAGACATCATTCAAGGACAAATTTTCAAGATAAGAACCAATAGGGTATCTCTGTCATAATAAGTAGGTCAATTACTAGGTCAAATACAGTAGGGTTTCCATTCGCAAAAGGTAGGAAACAGAAGGCAACCATTTCTGTCAAACAAACCATTACAAAACGGAACGGTTGCTTACGGTTCCGTTTTTGCCGAACAGGGCCTAAGTTTGTTTGCCATGTAAACTTTTTTTCTTGGCACTGAACCTACCAGTGTCCCGCCACAACGATATCTCTACACTAGCACCTCTCTCCACCTTTCTCCTTTATTCCCCATACTCCCTTCTTTAATCCACGGTATCCATCAATATCCCATCAACAATTATGATGACATTCAGGGCTATACAGATAAGCCGTTACGCTTCTCGCTCTCTTTTTCTGTCCACGCATGCCGTTGGATCTGCCTTCCCGCATGCCAAATTTCGCTTGTCCGCTGTTCCAGGTGCTGTGTTCCACCAAGGGGGCTCCAGATCTTTTGCGTCTCATGCCCCGAAGGCCTCTGAAATATTGTCTGCCGTGTATAGGGTTCGCTTGAGGATAGCCCAATGGGTGTGGTATGGAAACTTGCTTTTCACAAAGCTAAAGGTAAGTGAAGATCCTATTTTATAGCAAGTGATACTGGGCTTGGTATTGAAAGCAAATTATTTTGAAAGCCGATTCTCTTGTCGAACAGCGGGGCGAGTCTTATCGGTCTCACTCTGGGCACTGGGTCTAACCTGATCTACGCATCTTACGTGAACTGTAAGCGAGAGCAAGGATTGCAGAGTGCCCTTGCCCTCGGATCGGTTCCAGATGTGGAAGGTGGAAGAGTTCTTGCCGAACGCAAGGAGATCAAGGAGGCCCTTACGACACTGTTGCAGCCTGCCTCCGACCACAGCCAGTATGGGATGGTGATCGGTAGTCAGGGGACTGGGAAGACGACTTTGGTCCGCCAGGTGGCACACAACCATGCCGGGATCTTATATGTCAACATCCAGCCTTCGGGTGTTACCGAGCAAGAGTTTGCTGAAACGGTGGCCAAGGCACTTCACTTCTTTCCAAGAAGTCGTGTGTGGTTCAATATCGTCTTATCGCAATTGGGGATTGTCACCCACGATGTGGAAGGTTGGTTCTAATTCATAGAAGAACGTAATTTCACTGGAGGCTAACTTGAATTCAGATAAACGAAAGTACCTTGTGCAAGTGTTTGACGAATTCACGCGGCAGGCCAAGATTTATCGCCAGAAGACGAACCGCCCTCCAGTACTTGTGTTGGATAACGTCAACCGGCTTGCGGCTGGGAATCCCGGACTTCTCAATATTCTGCAAGACATCGCCAAGGATGCAGCAGATGATGGAATTTTTATTACGGTTTTCGTAGCCAGCGAGGGTCAGGCCCCGCTGCAAATTTTAGGTATGGTTGCTTTATTTTTGATCCTTATAGGGCTTCATCAAAGATAGGAAACTAATGTTTTACATTTTGGTCCCTGGATGGCAGGTCGCTCAGCACAGTCACGTCTGGGCAGGGTCATTGTAGTAAAAGATTTGACTAAGGAAGAGGCATTACGCTACCTTTGCCATCAGCATGGAAAACATCGCGATATCGCCGAAGCTGTGTATGACTTCACTGGAGGCCGAATTGCCTATTTGAAGTCCGCACTGACTCAGCTGAACTCTGGAATTCCGGTTCTAGGTAAGTTTGAAATTGGTTCTCTATACTTGTGTCAGAATATCAATTACTAAGTACAAGGTGTCAATGCAGGTATCCGTCAGCAGTTCTTGGACACAGGTAGGGACGTTTTTACCAAGGCAAAATGTATGCCGGACGACGAGTTTAAACTGGTTGCCATACCACTAGCAAGAAAGATGTTACTTGCTGGAGCGATTAGTCGTGAAGACTTTGAGGAGGGTGCCGGCAGTCAGACTACTGCCAAAAGGCTGCTCGCTGTTAACATCTTCACCCTATCGCCTTATTCTGAGCTGGTTGTGTTTGATTCCAAACCAATTCAGCTGGTGGCCCAGGAGGTGGTAGGAAACGCTGCACAGCGGCGGCGATCCTGGCTTTGGTTGTGGTAAGTTGTTCTGGGTTCTCAAGGCAGTCAGGGGGGTTGGTGTCGTACTAGAGGGAGGTGCTGTCTATCAATCACCCACACTAGCTTGTTTTTCTTACTTGCGTTAATGATACCTCTTTGGTTGCAATACCGTCTGTTACGGTGACTTCTGCTTCTACATGTGTGCCCACTTCACAACGAATATTCAAGGTGTGTGGTATGATTATTGCTATTAGCAACAGACCGCTTTACTAAATTGGAAGCTCACCACATAACCTCCCGGATTCCCTCCATTCTAAATTACCATTGCTTGAACCGATATCTTCCCATCTCCACTAGTTGGTGATAGTCCGCAAAGCAAGCTGCCTCCTCCCACCCCCTCTTGATTTCCCTCCCTTTGTTGCTACTTTTTGAATCTGCCTACTGCGCCATAGTTTGCAATTAAACACCTTGAATTATTCGGAAATGATATATACTAGTCATATATACAAAATGGTGGAACTATCAAACGTAATATTTTTTCACTCAAGGTCACATAAATCAGAAATTTGTGACAATTGAATCCAATAGCATACAGGAAGACTTAGGAACTGCTTGACCAGACAAACTCTGTGCATTATCATAGTCTTCTAATTGTGATAAATGGAGTCAAAGGGAATGAAGAGTTTGTGAATGAGAAGTGAAACGAGTGGACGAAGCGGAGACTTGTTATTTTGTGACCTTGTCCTCCACATAATGTTTGAGGACAAAAGAGACCTCTTAAATATATGTCAATCAGTAACTCTTCTGCAGTCTCTTAAACATAATCACGCCATTTCTGTATCCTCTGACACAATTGCCTTACCCCTCTTTTCTTCCTTCACTTTCCTGCTCTTGCGCACCTGCTTACCCCTCACTCCGGATAGTTCACCAGGTACCCTACTCCAGTAAACCATCTATTATCCTTCTCATATGTTCTAGCACAAGCAGAGGCGGAAAGATCTCAGGAGGAGTGCCGGTGATTAACAACACTAATGAGTACACGTTGGATATTGATTCTACCCTGGTTGGGTCAGAATCTACTAACAGTATCTAACACTGAAACTGCGGGTGGTCTGACTGCAATTGTAGTAATCCAACTTTCCTGTTATGTTTTCCACTGGCACTGTATCCACGATTTTATCTGTATTTCTCTTCTAGAATGGTGTTTACTAAGAAGCTATGACCTTGTTAAGAGAGAGGGGAGGGGTGGAGTGTCACGTCATACATGGTTTTGTGCGAGTCTTGCTCTTCACCGAATTTGAGCTAAGTGAAATGTGGGGAACTGCCGATTACTTGCAGGCCTCTGAGGAAGGTGCCATTACTCGTGGGGATCCCAGAGTGGCTCAGAACTTTAGCAAAAGCTCCCTTCCCCGAATATGCTTGCGCAGACATCCTTTGATGCTGGTATCATTTTGCCCGCACAGCTCGCATTCGTGTTTACTATCCACTAACTTGAAAGGAAGATGACAGTAAAACACAGGGAGAAAGCAAGAGAAAGGACTAGGGAAAACAACACCCAGAAACAACAGTAAAGAAGGTGGTGGAGTTGGTCGTGCAGGATGGGTTCTCGCGGTGTCATTTCTCCGCTCTCTGAGGAAGGCAATGCGATGCCTCCAGGGGAAAAACATCCACCTGCTAAGCCTCATCCCAAACAGAAAGGTCTATTGGTGAAAACCCAGAAAACATGACCAGAAAACCCCTAAAACCTTCCTCGCACCACACCGGTACGCCCCGGAAACATTACACCAAAATCCCTGCCAATTAGCAGCTCCTCGTTAAGCACAACTGTGGGCCTTGGCTCTTTAATTTCTGTCATCTCTATCTGTTGCCAGCGGTGCTTGGCTCCGCTTTATTTTCATGCATTGCAGTACCATTTCATGTGACTTACAGGCCGTGGATGTATGTCTTACTTTAACTGATCTAACAGAATAACCATCGTGTTGGATGCTAATGATACATGGATAGAGTATTGGGAAACAAAATTTTGAAATCCTCCGGGGCATTGTTTCTGTGAACACCTGATCCTAACTACATCCAGCAAACACACATTGAGCTTTCGATCACTAACTACACAGAACGTGGCAGGTTTAGCTAGGTATATCATGAGGAAAGGATATGTAGCCATCTAACGACAGAGATTGCATGTGCTTTCTCTGCCGCTATTGGCATTCAGAACAAAAAAACACACCAACACCACAGTATATATAAAACGACAATGGTTGAGGTGCCCACCCACGCACCCCGGAGAGCAAATACAAAACATAACAAAAAATACAGGACTTTTGGGTAAACAGTCAAATCAAGAACGATATTTGCTCTTGCTCCACCATTGCTTCGGGGGAAGAGGAAATCTGACAAGTTTTATTGGGGTGGTTTTTTTGTCGGGTGGCTTTTCGCAATATTCTCCTGTGCTCTAGTTAGCTTGTTCTGAATGGAAATGGAGGGGAGGCAAGTTACAAACCATTCTCTGGGCTGGCTGATGGGTTTGAGCCGAATGGAGAGGAAAGGAAGAAGCCAGTACAGGAAGAATATGATAAACCCACTTTAATTAGCCTAGACAGAGGTGTTATTTCCAAGGATTGAGTTTTCGCCGCTTCCCCTCGTTGGCCGCCTCGTACCCAGGTTTTGCCACTGTTAGTCCACCCCCTTCTGAACCCTCTCCACATTGCCTCTCACCACCCTCCATCCAGGAGTATTTCTTTGGCGGACGGGCAGTGTCCAGGAAAGACTTGAGTGGGTTAGGTGGTCTTCCATTGCCGCCTGCTGTGCTATGTCATGCCTCCTCCGCTTTGCCGCCTCCTTGCGAGTTTCCTTTGCGGCCGCGCTGGCTCTGGCCGCGATTTCACGCTCGGGCTTGCGGTATCGGGTGGCTCCGGCAAGGATGTCAGCTTTCTCTTCTGCTTCCTTGGCGGAGGGTCTTTTGTGCTCTCGGGCTTGCGGTATCGGGTGGCTCGGGCAAGGATGTTAGCTTTCTCTTCTGCTTTCTTGGCAGCGGGTCTGTTGTGCTCGGAAGCTTCTCCTTCGCGTTTCGTTGCCTCCTTCTTTGCATCGTCTCCAGCTTCTTGACACGACATTTCCAACTCTAGCTCGGCAGCTATATCGTCTCCTGACTCGTGGGCGGCAGAACGGGCATCCAATTGTGCGTTATCTCTCCGTCCAGGCTTTCGCCCAAATACTGTGCCTCACTAGCACTAAGGTCCACTTGACCTCCGGTAGCTACTGCCATTTCGGCTGCTTCAAGTTCAGCGCTTAATTTTTCTATTCGGTCTTGAGCAGTGGCCTTTTCACTCTTAGTCTTGACTTGGGTATCTTTTCACCTGGGTTCTGCGCCGGTACATTGGGATCCTGCCCTTGCTTCCACCACCCGCACTTTCACCCCAATTGCAGCCATCTTTTCAGCCGCTGCTGCCTGTTGCTTCTCTGCCCCAAACTTCTTATTCTCAGCTACTTGTTCCCTCATAGCGGCTGCCATCTCTAGCTTCTCCTGGGCGTCTTCTGGCTTCACCCGTTCCGTCTCCCTCTTTATCCGGCGTTTGATGTGGGTTTGGGTGATGGCAGGTGCCCGGTACCCACCAGCATCGGCGGCACGTTTCTCCTCAGCCACTAGCTCTGCTGTAATTTTGTCAACAAACGCTTTGTGATTGATGGCGCGAGTGGCCCCGGCTTTTTTCCTAGACGCCCAGCGTGTGGCTGCTTTCTCTCCCGCCGTTTTTGCCGTAGGCCCTGTCTTGGATATAAGGGGTGGAGGATTGTATAGCGGGTTCCGCCCTGCACCAACCGCCAACTGGGTGCCTTTTTTTTACTGGCACCCTGGGAGGGCATGCCCAGTTCAGCTCTCTAGTAGGCAAGGGCAGCAAAGCTATCATCTCCACCATCATTGTCCCCATCACCGTTATTAGCAGTTCAAGGGGAGTCTTTTTCGAACATTACTAGGGGCTGGTGTTTTCTGGGTGACCGGCGGACGAGTCCAGGGATAGGAGGGAGCAGGGGAGGGGCCCGAACTTTGGGCTGTGCCATGGAGGTAGCTGGCTTGGGGGTCTCATCCTTGTCGCTGATATCAGTCCCGTCCCCAGCTGTTGTGGGTTCAACATCCTGAGCTGCCTTTGGTTGCAGCCCACCGGAATCGACTCCCCCCTCCTGGCTTTGCCGGCCCTCAGGTGCGCCGATACCGGCTTGAGGGGGTTGATGTTTTTTTCCCCGTTGCCTTTGTTTCTCCTTCTGGCACTCCACAGGTCCGTCTCGCTTCCCCAGGTTTAACAGATTTTTTACCGAAACTGTTGCCCCTGAAATTCAGGCTCAATTGGCTCTTTTATTCCCAGTATGCATTGGGAGGGCACAATAATAGTCGCCATCATCATCGTCATCTAACATAGTGGAATAACTGTTGTATAAGAGCTTAGGTTGACATCTCCTTGGTGATCTCCGCAAGACTTGTGGGAGGAGGGGAGCTAAGCGGGCAGGTCCGAACCCCCAGTTCCGCGATGTTAGGAGCCGGCTTGGGAGTCTCATCTTCGCCGATGATAACACTCTCGTTCCCAGCCATGGTCTTCCCAACAGGGGGAGCTGCCTGTAGCAGTGGTCCAACGGAATCATCTCCTTCTTCCTTTTTCTCTTGTGAGGGGTTTTAGATGGGTAATGATCACCACCATCATCCTTCTCACCGGATTCAGTACCGTGGCGCTTGTATGACTGGTTAGGTGGGTATTTCAGGCGGGATCCCTGGAGGGGTTGTGAAGCGTGGGGTAAACGTGGAGGAGTGCGGGCTTTGCTATCCGATGTTTGGCACTGCCTTTGGACCTTCCTCTTCCTCGCTGGTATCGCTATCATTCCCCTTCATTGCCTGTGGGTCACAAGATCCCGGGCGAGGTGACTGGCACGGTTATTGCACTCCACTCTCATCCCAACCTCCTCTATTGTAAGATATGTGGGATATGTGTTGTAGGAGAATGGAGGAAAAGTAGATGGAGGATTTTGACGTTTTCTGCTTGCTCATTTTTTCTATCTATGGGGCAATAAGGGGGGTTTATATAGAGCGATGATACCCATAACCACAATCAGAATGCCTATCAACATGCCGTGAAAAAATCCTCCCTATCCTAAAACATGACCTCCCAGCATTTCCGGTATCTCCCTTCTCTTCCGAGGTCCAGCTCGGACAGAAGTTCTCACACCCGTATCCACTGTAACCGGCGTACCGAGCCTTACCGAAAGACTGCCGAACACTACCAGCAGGTATCCAAACTGCCGATAGAGACCGTTCCCGTATTCTGAAACTGAACATGAAATAAAACTGTACTAGCTGGAGAAATCTCTGCTAGTGTGAAACTCACATACAAAGCCACCAACCGCCATCACCAAACAGGTTGACCAACAAGTTCCGGAACAATCAAACGACAAGTGAGTACCCATGACTTTCAATACCTCCAACCTCCCGTGCATAGACCTTAGATGTGGGAGCTAGTGAACAGCAAGCAGCCTATTCGCAGTAGTCAGACTGCCGGCACCCTCCTCAAAGTCTTCACGACTAATCGCTCCAGTGAGTAACATCTTTCTTGCTAGTCGTAGGCCAACCAGTTTAAACTCGTTGCGGGCATACATTTGGCCTTGGCAAAGATTTCCTTACCTGGGTCCACGAACTGCGGACCGATACCTGCATTGACACCTCGCACTGAGTAATTGATATTCTGATACCACTATAGAGAACCAATCTCAAACTTACCTGGAACCCGATTTCCAGAGTTCAGCTGAGCCCGTGCCAACTTTAAAAACGCAATTCAGCCGGCGGTGAACATAAAATCCTTTACCACAATAACCCTACGCAGACATGACTGTGCTGAGCAACCTGCCATCTGGGGATCAAAACAGATTACATTAGTTTCCTATCTTTGATGAAGCCCTAGAAGGATTGAAAATAAAGCAACCATACCTAATATTTGCAGCAGGGCTTGACCCTTGCTGGCTATGAAAACCATAATAAAACGTCTGCCATCAGATGCATCCTTGGGTATGTCTTGCACAATATTGAGATGTCAGGGATTCCCAACCGGAAGCCGGTTGACGTTATACAACACAAGTACAGGAGGGCAGTTTATCTTCTTGCGATAAATCTTGCCCTGCCCGGTTAATTCGTCAAACACTTGGACCAGGTACTTTGGTTTATCTGAATTCAAGTTAGCCTGGGGTGAAATTATGTTCTTGTATGAATTGGAACTAACCTGCCACATCCTGGGTGACAATCTCCAATTCCGATGAGACGATATGGAACCACACATGACTTCTTGGAAAGAGGTGAAGTACCTTGGCCACCGTTTCTGCAAACTCTTGCTCGGTAATACCAGAAGGCTGGATCTGGACATATAAGATCCAGGCATCGTTGCATGCGACCTGGGGGACCAAAGTCGTCTTCGCACTCACCTGACTACTGATCCCTATCCCATACTGGCTGTCGTCGGAGGTAGGCTGCAAAAGTGTTGCAAGTATTGTAAATCGCCGGTACTCTGACTAAGTTTGATTGAGGGATATTAGAGGCAACCCCGCAGCCAGCATTGATTTCTTATTTGTAATGCTTATGAGTTTGTTATTTGTGGAGCGGGGTAGGAGGTTCTAGACCACCTTGGTATGAAGCCAGTATGGGGGGTCAAGGGAAATGGTAGTGCACGAGGAGATCATAGAAAGGATGATTGGTTATACAAAGCGGGGTAGGATAGAAGATAGAAGAAACACAAGGAGATAGCTAAAAGAGGGGTAAGAGCGGGGATAGTGTGATTATGAGGGCAAGCGGAATCTTCTTTCTATCTGTTCGGTATATAAAGGCATAAGGATATAGGGAAGGAAGTGAGAGAATTGGATAGGAGACATGGGTAGCAAGCACGACTACAGATACAAAGTACGAATATACGGAGACCGATAAAAGACGAAACCAAGATCGAGAAACCTTCTGCATGCGAGATCATACGGACTATATTATACAAAGTACAACAGCAAGTACCCCTTTGATCTCTCTGCGTTCGGCAAGAACTCTTCTACCGTCCACATCTGGCACCAATCAGCTTTCAAAATTATTAGCATTCCATACAAAGCCTGGTATCCCTTGATGTAAAATACTATCTTCACTTACCTTTAGCTTTGCGAAAATCAAGTTTCCATACCACACCGAGTGTGCTCTCCTCAAGCAAACCCTATGCACCACAGACACCAGTTCAGATGCCTTGGATGCATGATACCCGAAATGCATACCATGGCCAAACGACCTAGAGCCCCACTGTTGAAACACAGCACACGGAACTGCAGACAATCAACAGTTGGCAAGCGGGAAGGTGGATCCAAGTGCATGCGTGGACAGAAAAAGAGAGTGAGAAGCGTAACGGCCTATCTGTATAGCCCTTAAAGTGGTCATAATTGTTGATGGGATATTGATGGATCGTGGATCAAAGAAGGGTGTATCGGGAATAAAGGAGAAAGGTGGGGAGAGGTGCCAGTGTAGAGATATGGTTGGTTGTGGCAGGACCCGTGGTGGGTTCAGTGCCAAGAAAAAAAAATTGCATAGCAAACAAACTTAGGGCCTGTTCTCCATAAACACTAGGCTGGTGGACCGTTCAGCTGGTTGCTGGTTTTTGGTGGGGAAATGGTTGTCTTGGCATCTTCAGAACGGAAGGAAACGGTCATTTTTATTAGGGAACGGAATGATTCCGTTCCTGCCCAACAGCCACTTAACCGATCGGAACAATTGCAAAAAAACAGAGCCTAATCTTGTTTGTCATCTTCTTTTTTTTTTCTTGGCAGATCGGCTGTGGCTAGCCTACGACATGTGACCACATTCCATACAAGGTTTGTGACTCTTTCTCTTCAACAATCAAATTCCCTTCGCCCCCCCCCCCCGATACCAACACACAGTACAATCATGACTTCCACGGCAGCTCCAATTCACCTGCACAGGTTGGTCCCCCGCCTATCTCACGTGGCTACCGTGCGATCCACCTTTTTTTACCCTTCACATTACTGTTTGTCCACTGCCATGGGCGCTCAATCCCCATGGACAGCATTACAGTACTTTCACCATGACATGGGTTTGCAACACACTGCAAGTAAGGCCTCCAAATTGAGGTATGCTATCTACAGGACTAGTTCAACTGCCGGACCATCAGTGAAGTATGGAAAGCGGACTTTTGCAGGATTAAAGGTAAGTGTACAAACAATCCAAGATGGCATGACGCTGGGCCTTCCACGCAAACCTGCTGACTTGGAAAGCGGCTGTCTTTGTCCAAGACTAGTTGCTGGGTGATGGCGCTAATTCTGGCCACTGGGTCGGATATGATATATACATACCTCATGAATAGAAAGCGAGAATCCAGTCTTGAGAGTTCACTGGCTCTGGGATCGGTTCCTGATATTGAAGATGCAAGCGTGCTGGCCCCGCGTACCAGCCTCAAGGCATCTATCTCATCACTGTTACAGCCAGCCTTTGACCACGGTCAATATGGGATGATTATCGGGAACCACGGGACTGGAAAGACAACTTTGGTCCGCGGGGTTGCACATCAACATGCCGGGATCTTATATGTCGACATCCAGCCTTCTGGTATTACCGAGCAAGAGTTTGCTGAAACGGTGGCCAAGGCACTTCACTTCTTTCCGAGAAGTCGTGTGTGGTTCAACATGATCTTATCGGAATTGGGGATTGTCACCCATGATGTGGAAGGTTGGTTCCAATTCACACAAGAATGTAATTGCACCGGAGGCTAACCTGAATTCAGATAAAAGAACGTACCTGGTCCAAGTGTTTGACGAATTCACCAGGCAGGCGATGAGATATCGCAAGAAGACCAACCGCCCTCCTGTACTTGTGTTGGATAACATCAACCTGCTTGCGGCTGGGAATCCCGGACTTCTCAATATTCTGCAAGACATCGCCAAGGATGCAGCAGATGACGGACTTTTTATTACGATTTTCGTAGCAAGTGAGGGTCAAGCTGCACGGCAAATGTTAGGTATAGTTGCTTTCTATTCAATTACTATGATCCTTCATGAAAAATAAGAAACTAATATGATACATTTTGGGCCTGTGATGGCAGGTCGCTCAGCCTGGTCTCGTCTTGGTAAGGTGATTGTTGTGGAAGATTTAAGTAAGGAAGAGGCCTTATACTATCTTTGTAATCAGCATGAGAAGCATCCCCATATTGCCGAAGCTGTGTATGAGTTCACCGGAGGCCGAATTTCCTTTCTGAACACAGCACTTGCTCACCTTAACTCCGGAAATACGATTCCGGGTAAGTTTGAAACTGGTTGGCCACCGCCTCACTTCAATATGAATTACTAACCGCAAGGAGTTAATGCAGGTATCCGTCAGCAGTTCTTGAATGCCGGGAGGGAAATCTTTACGAAGGCTAAACGCATGCCTAACAACGAGTTTAAGCTAGTTTGCCTACCACTAGCAAGAAAGATGTTAGCCACTGGAGCGATTAGTTATGAAGACTTCCAGGAGTTGGCCGGAACTCCCACCACTGCCAATAACCTACTTGCTATTAAAATCTTCACCCTGTTGCGTTATTCCAACATGGTTGTGTTTGAGTCCAAACCAATTCAGCTGGTGGCCCAAGAGGTGGTAGATGATGCTTCAAGGGGATGGAGATCCTGCCTGTCTTTGGTCTAAGTTGTGGCCCACTGTCGGATTGGGGTTGGGGGGGGGGTTGTTATGGTGGTTGGGTCCTTGTGGGGGTGCGGTTTTTCTGGTGGTGGGGTTCTTGTGGTGGTTGGGTTTTTGTAGTAGTCTGGCTTTTGTAGTAGCGGGGTTGTTGTAGTGGTTGAGTTCTTGTACTGGTAGGGTTTTTCTGGTGGTGGAGTTCTTGTGGGGGTGGGGTTCTTGGGGTGGTACGGTTCTTGTGGTGGCCGGGTTCTGGTGGTCAGAGGGGCTCTGCATAAAATACTGAGACTAGGTTTTTATTTTCTTGCTTGTTGTGGCAATACCTCTATGGTTCCAATGTCGGCTTTTACTGTGACTTCTGTCTCCACCTGGCTGCCCAGTTATCTCCTAATATTGAAATTAGGAACTGGATCATTCCTTTTACTAACAACTCCTTCTGCTAATCGATGATTGAATTAAATCTTCATAAGTATGTGGAAGCTCTGTACGGGTTGGTATTGGGATTCTGACTCTTGGAAATGTCGTCTGCGGTCTTTCATCTTCATCACAAAATCAGCACCCTTATGTGCAACCCGCAACCTTTCTACTTTCTCTGTTTATCCTCTCCTAGTTTCCATATCTGATCCATTCCCTTTTGTGATCAACTATACCCTACTTGCTCTATTTTGCTTTTTTTTCTCTCAGCTTGGGTTAACTTCTTATTAATCAAGCTCATTGACCAATCCTCAATCCTCCTCTTGACCATGTACTCTGTAATTTCTGTTTTATTCTCACCTCTCCTTTCTTTGGATTTATCTCTGACATGTGTGAGAATCTTCTACCTCTCTTATAAATCAAACCCAAAACATAACAAATGAAATGACAAAGTTTCCAAGAACTGCAGACAGACTTGTGCTACTTCTTCCTCCTACATCTTCTGGGATATCATCTGAGCTCCATGATCAAGTAGAGTGCTGGTGATTCACAATACTCCCTATGCTGAACATTTTTACTAACTAGTGTCATTGGGAGTGGGTTCTGTTAGAGTCCAAACTAATCCAGATAATTGTGAAAAACATTGTGCATAATTACACTCCCTACAGGAAGGTTCAATGGCCATGCTAATGGGATACACCTGGAGCTGCTCTAATGAAGAATAAGGTACAATAGTGTTAGTAGAAATCTATAGGATATTAGCAAGGCAGGTAAGATTGTAGGAGGCTCAGGCTGGGAGAGGGTGGATAACATGCTATTCTTATATAATTGGAAACATTGACAACTTTCCTTAAAAAGTGATTATTAAATGTCGGATTGGTAAAGTACGGGTACAAAAAGAACCGTCCGGCAACGCAACAGCAACCCTACTACCACTATAAATTTACTATCCCTACAACCACAACTACTTGAAATAAACTGAAAATATGTGTAGACATACAATAAATATAAGAAAAGCTATATCTAAAATTAGAAAACAAAAAAATCAATACTACTTGGTATACCATCCCCTCACATCTATGACAGCAGCAACTCTACTAGGTATAGACTCCTACAATCTTTCCAGAAAGTCCCCTTCAATATTCTGAGTCCAAACCTGATTTAGAGCTACTGCTCGATGTTTTCTAACAGTTTCTGGGCCCCCCTTGGTCTTGTGGATGTTGGGAAAGCACTGGTGTAGCTTTTCCTTCATCCTCTTCCAACAGTGCTCAATAGGATTGAGGTCAGGAGAATTGGCTGGCCATTCCATAACCTGCATGTTGTTTTCCTCAAACCAAGCCATGGTATCTCTTGCAGTATGTATCCTTGCACCATCCTGCTTAAAGATAGGATCCCCAACTGTATCCTCCACCTCCTGCCAGACATCAACTAAACCATCCTCCAAAACTCCAATATATACAAATCTATCTACACTCTTGTTAAAAATAGAAATCAGAGGACCCTTATTTCTGCCTCAAATACAAGCCCACACCATCAGCTTTACCCCTGGCCCCTTGGTAACTCCATGAATACAGTCTTTGTTCTACTTTTCTTCAGGTGTTCTGAACACCCATATACCCTTAGAATCCTTAGACTTTTCAACCAAGGATTCATCACTAAAGATGACTCCTTCAAAGTCTTCCTTTATCCAATCCTTATACTTCATTGCCCAAGCTAACCTCTTAACAGCATGCTCATCCTTTAGAAGAGCTCTTTTCCTAGCTCTCCATTTCTTTATGTTGACTGAGGCTAAAGCTCTCTTGACTGTTTGGAGGGAGGAATGTGGTACAATATCATTGTGCGATTCTGATAAAGTCTGGTGGCGTGCCTTCTTAGACTGTCTGACTAGGCGGTGTTGGGTTCTAAAATTGATAATTTTGGGTCTTCCAGGTGTAAGGAGGTTTTTTGCATCACCCCTCTTTTGGAAGCGGTCATAGAAAGTTTGAACAGTACTCTTTGGATGGTTTAAGAGCTCTCCAATCTCGCCAAAAGACATTTTTTTTTTCCTCAGAGCAACTATTTGCCCATTCTGAAACTCTGGAAAGTAGCCTGGCTTGTGTGGAGGCGATGTGGTTGTGGGGTGGTTGATTGTAGGAGTGGGGTGTTTTGTGGTGTCGGGCAGTAACCACCGATTGTACAGATCCTTTTGGTCTAGTACTTTACAACCCATTGCCAATTGGGAAAGCACCCCGAACAGCATGGGAGTAGCCAGCTGTGCTCCGGCGCTCAGCGGAATAAGGTATCACGGGTTGCCTAGCTAGAGCTGGGCCACACCTCACCGCGAGGGGTCCGTGGACCCCCGATACATATACTCCCCCGAGCCCCCCTTTCTCTCCGAAGAATGACAAGATTACCTAGCTTCCTGTTTCCTACCGCTTGCGTTCTTTATTTCCCACCCACCCATCGGCAAACTCCTGGCGCCCTCACTGCCACTGCGGGACATATCGGTAGCTACCATCCCCAACGGCAAGGGCTGCGACAACCCTACCAATGCCTCCGCCAGTGGAACACGTCTCTCAGCACATGGAAGGACGGAATCACTGGGCATGTCTTTCCCTGCTTCAGTTTTCTTATACCCTTTCTCTTAATCATTCCCTCCTTCCTCTTAGCTAATCAATACATTAACAGATTTCGTTGGCTTTAGGAAATTGGTGACATGAGCCTCTGGGTAACATTACATTTATGGCTGGTTCTTAGAGTCATAGGTAATCGTACAAAGTCAGATATTTTCAGAATTTGAAATATAGTAGCTGGTAGTACCAACAGTGCAGGAGAGAAAGTCTAGAAATGATACATTGCCTACCCATATTACCATGGATCCGGAATAATCAGTGGCCCCTCCTAGTATATTCTCAGGGAATGCTGTGCTCAGCCCAGATGGATGAAATACCGGGTAATAGTGTCATGGGTTTAGGGAAGTGCTTTTGGGGCTGTTCTTCATAATATTTTGTAAGTGGCCAATTCCAAACCACAGCTTACATCACATTCACCCAGGAGCACGTTGGATAAAAACATAGATTTTATTGAGTTCAAAGAATTGTTTCCAACCGTGCGTTCTCTCCAGCCGTTGTTGGGAGTGGGACAGGACTGACTAAAGCTTGCAGTGCTTGAGTTCAGCAATGTGTTCACCAACGAGCCACCCCCCCTCCTCACAGGCTGAACTGTGAGGGTTACCCAGGAGTACCATCTTGCAGCCTAAAACTTTATGGAAAAAAAGGAGGTAGTCAGTTAAAATGCTTCAATTATTTCTGCAGCTTTTTTCTGGTATAATTTGTTTCCCCCTTGCCCCCCCATAGGCCCCCTTGTCCCCGGTAGCCTTGATTGCCCCCGCCTAGTATCCGATACTCCCCATTGTCCCCAGAAGTGAGTCAAAATCTAGGAAGTCGCCTGCCCTCCCCTATCGTCGTGGTTACAAACACTGTTTCACCTTGTAGGCCCCGCCATCCCATCCAAGGACCACTCTCCTCCCCTTTCCCCAGCGTGGACTGACTGCTCAGAGCCGTCCTATCCTGTCCAAGGCTCTTGGAAGTCTCCCTGTAGCAACTGGCCATGCCCCCTGGACCCTGGGGAAAACTGGTCCCAAGTCTATTGAACGTAAAGCACAAATGGTATCTGCATTCCCCAGAACTGGCGTTGTGAACCCCAGCAGCCAGCCTACAAGTATAAAAACCTAGTTACTATTGCAGGAATGATGCTGATAGTAAAGACTGAAGGCAGGAGTGGAAGAAAGAAGAATATGGGATATGTAGTTTTAGATACGGGTGCACTGTATCTCTGTTGCTTGTCCCCTTTTTTATCTACGGAATAACAAAAGGACTTTATATAGACAAATCATCCACCCTCCAGGTACAGTGTTCCAGCCTCTGTGAGAAAGAGAAAAGGAAAAACAAAACAACGGAAATGCCAAACACCCTGGGATCCTCCGGGAATCCCTCCGGTAGGTTTCAGCCAACTCCGGAGTTCGGGTACCTAGGCTCATACCCGATATCGACCTTCCTGCTCCCTTGCTGTATGCAACTATTTCCCACACCGCATGGTTCCACCCATATAGAGTGTTGTATACAAGGTATACCCATTCCCTTGACTGATCAGAAATCAATGACAAATAGAAATAAACGGACAAAGGTGCGACTAATAGAAATAAATAAGAAAAAGATATTTATCCATTGACCGCACGTAGAGGGAGATGGAATGATCCCCGGTGATTTTCAATAGTTACACGATGACATGAAGCTCCATCCTGATATAGGGTTATCGAGCCATGTTGGCACCGGACCGTGGGCCCCAAGAGGCCCTAAGGGGAACTTCTAAGAAGCCGGGATTGAATGGGACCACAAATCCAGTCTGTCCTGTAGGGAAAATATTTCAGACCATTGGCTCACCATGTCAAGACAGAATCCTTCCATCATGGTAGAAGGATTCTAGGTCACCATAAATAACTACAGACTTTGTTTAGAGAATAATAGGGATCAATGGGCATCTGTGGGGAATTTGGAGGGAGTTTCACAGCACTTAGCTGTGGGCCTCTGTGGGTAACAAAATTTCATGGAGTACCATGTACTTATCCATCTAGTGGCCAAAAGCCCTGGACAAATTTGTTTCCCAGGCCCAAGGAACCTTGATTTCTGGT